TTTCCGTGTGCTGTCGGACCATGTCTTGGGCTCTGCAGTTGCCGGACTTCGGAGTGCTTCAGGTCAAGGCCCGACATGGTCGCTTGTGTTGAGCTATGAGCAAGAGCTTCGCAAAGCCGCGTACCGCTACATTCGTGATGGCCAGTGCCAAGACTTGCGTGCTGCTCTTGAAAAAGCATGTGATGCCCCGGAGGTTTTGACCACACACTTTGTCGTCCCGTTCACCTTGGGTAAGGTCGAGGATCCTGTGGACATGCCCGATCTTGCAAAGGTGCCTTGGCTGCGTCATGGAAAGGGTGGCAAAGGCGGCAAGGGCGGCGGCAAAGCTGCTCCAGATTGGGGGCGGCAGTGGGGGAAGTCTAACAAGACTCCCGATGGCAGAGCTCTGTGCTTCAAGTTCAACAAAGAAGTTGGTTGTTCCGATCCTTCCTGCCGTTTTGCGCATGTGTGCTGGCGCTGCTTCGGGAAGCATTCTTTCCAGAAGTGCAAGTTCCGTAAAGCTCCTCCTGAGGTGGGAGCCCAGGCTGACTGAATGCGCGCTTCGGCCGAGTCCCCTTCTTGCCCGCTGCTGCCTGAAGGGGGGTGTGTTGCGCAGCGTGCAGTTGCTGCTCCTGGCAAGCGCAAGCCGGTGGCCACGGCAGACGAGGCCGCGTCTGGTGATGAGGACGAACTCTGGAACACTATCTTTCCCAGCCGTGCCTGCTCGGGTCTAGAGTTTGAAGAAGGAGGCGACGGTCTACGCTTCGCTGGTTTGCGCGGGACAGGGCCACCGCTTTACTGTACATCGGGCGGTGCGCGGAAGCCATTCACCGACGGTTGCGGTCTGTGCTCACCTGGACGATGGCCTCCCTCTGCGCGACAGGATGCTTGCGAGAATTCGAAATTGTCCTTTCATCAGCGCCTTGCGACAAAGCTGCATCACTTCGTGGGGACAAAGCTCAATGTGCGTGACCTGGCTTTCAAACTAGCTGCAGGTGCCGTCAGACAGTCTCCCTTCAGTGACGAAATGCTGGAGGAAGGCAGAGGCATCATTTGGCAAGAGCTACGTGCAGCAGGATGCCAGCTACCTGTAGAAGAGAGAGCGCCTGGTCAGCCCTTTTTCCTCGCTGCCATCGAGGAACTGCTGCGACTTGCTGGTGACCCTGACTCGGCAGCCTTCTACACGGGCCAAGACTCTTTTGCTAAAGGGGTGCGCCTGGGTGTGGGGGTGGAACTTCCTCGAGTGCCTGCTGTTTTCACTGCCAAGGACCGTTGGAGATCCTACCCAGAGGGTCCTGACGGGATGGTGCTTCGTGACAACTACGTATCCGCTAAGGAGCACGCCGCAGAAGTGCAAAAGCAGTTTGAGATCGAGGCGGAGCTCGGCGCCATGTACGAGATGGATTTGGATGCTGCGTGCAGGGAGCTCGGCGAAGTGTCAGTCGCTTCGCTCGGGGCCATTGAAAAGAAAGATGGATCCTACAGGGTGATACATGACGGGACGCATGGCTTGTCTGTTAACAGTGCGATAAAGGTACGGGATCAAATTCGCCACCCTGGAGCAGGAGACCTGAGACGTGCAATGCAGACTCTGCCTACAGCATTCTTCTCCCTCTCGGGGGACGTGGCGCGTGCCCATCGACTCGTGAAGATTGCGAAGCGTGACTGGAAGCATCTTTGCTGTCGCACTGGCACTAAAGGTGATGGCGTCATCTGGGTGAACTGCGTCGGTACGTTTGGTGTTTCTTCAGCTGCGTACCACTGGTGTCGTCTCATGTCAGGACTTGGGCGCTCGGCATTCTTCTTGTTTGGAAAATTGGGCTGGATGCAACTTATCTACGTCGACGATGTTCTCTGGCTCGTCGGCGACAAAGGCGGCATTGAGAAGCTGATCACCGTGATCTTCTACTACTCTGCGCTGGGGTTGCCATTTGCCTGGAAGAAGTTTACGGGCGGCCTCGTTTGTAAGTGGGTCGGTTTCGAGTTGACGCTGGCCGAGAGAGCCTTAGGGCTTACGGAAGGAAGGGCAAAGTGGATAGTCTCCTGGGTGTCGCACACTGTTGCAGCTGGCGATGTTAGGATGGCAGACCTACGGGCAGTGCTTGGCAGGCTTTCTTTCGCGTTCACTGTGCTTCCAAACTTCCGCCCACTTTTGGGCCCGCTTTATGCCTGGAGTGCGGCGATGGGGTCCTACCACAGTCGCCCGTTGCCAAAGCTGGTGGTCTTGCTCCTGAATTTCTTGAAAGCTTCGCTGGAAAAGCTTGGGAGAAATG